TGTTGGCTTTTTTGGCAGCTGCAGCACACTGCTGGCTCATATATGTTCACTCTTCCCCATATTTCCTGCAACTTTAATCCTTCTATCATTTCTTCTCTGTTGGTAAGCATTAGGTTCAATATAGTTGTCCTCTAGTTTCCTTCTCTATCTTTTGGATGACAAAGTTGTCAGCTAGGTTAGTCAGAAACCTGTTCAATCTCATTGACTTTTCAGAAACTTGTAAACTTTGTCTGGCAGATTACTACAATATTCACAAAGGGCTTTTGCCTTTGTTTTCAGGCAAATAAAGAACATGAGTTCATTGATTCTCTTCCTGGTAGTATGTGTGTATATGTATGTATGTATGTATGTATGTATGTATGTATGTATGTATGATGTATGTATTTATTTGAAAACAGAATTGATTAAATTCTTATTATAGATCCCCTGCTACTATGTGAAAGTATTCAACAACCTAAGAAAATACTAATTATCATTTTATTTATTATAAACATATTTAAAAAGTCTCTAGTATATTTGTCTGTTCAATCATATTCAATTATTTTTCTATTCAAGAATAAAGAAATGTTTTGATTAACCAGTTTTTGTGGTCAAACATGTAGCTACACAGGATTTAATGTCTATAGAGATGTTCAATCATCCAGATTATTGTGGTCCCAAAGGTGCTTTTTCCAAAAGGCAATTGGAAAATCCTTCCATTCTCCTTTGGTCAGTTATAACCGAAGAAGTTTCTTTGATGAGAAGTGAAACATTTTTAAAGAAAAAAACCCAAGAAAATACAGTTGCCTTTTGGAAAAAGCACATTTGAGACTTTTGATGGTTATTTTTTTTATTTGTACAATCCCATATGCTTGTCCAAGGACCAGAAAATATTAATAATAACCTAATAATTACATTATTAATATAATTAATAATAGGGATATAATTCAAATAGGAGTCCTTAGTGCTCAAAGAGCTAATTGCAAACATTTTATTACCTTATTCGTGTGTTAAAGCACAGATGCAAAAATGACTGTTTTCTTTCAATCTTACATCTTTAGTGCCATTGGCTTGTCATTTGACACAGAATTTTGAAAATATAATTCATTGTTATTCTCTTATATTTAGTAAAAATATTTCACCACAGAAAATGTTCAACATTCAAAGTCATAATAAAAATTGAAATAGGAAGGAGGACATGCTAGGACAATTTAGAGATGCTGAATTATTTCTTTATTAAGAAAATTTATATAGCCACCCAACTCAGGGCAGCTTACAAAAATAAAACTCCAATACAAAAGCCAATAGCCACCTCCAAGACAAAAAACAAGTATTTGTTGTGCTCTGTATCACCATGAGGTCCATTAGCAAAACTCCAGACTTTTTATAAGAGTATTTAAAAATGAGGATCAGTGTTATTTATGCAGGGATGATGTTTAAGAGAGGAGAATCATAGTATTCTGTGTCCTTCTATTCTGGTAGTACAGATAGATAAGACTGAGAAAAGACAGGCCATATTGGGTTTTAAAGATGACAGCCGGCACTTTGAATTGGACCCACAAGCAAATCAGCAGCTAATACAGCTCCCACAAGACAAATAACAGATTTGCAAATCTATGCTTGCACAGAACCATTTAGTCTGCTGCATTTTGAACCAATTCTGGATACTTTTCAAGGGCCGACTATATATAGCACATTGCAATAGTTAAGATGGTAGGTGACTGGGGCATGGGTGACTGTGAACAGGGAATGTTGGTCCAGGAAAAGGTATAACTGACATACAGCCCACAGTTGCACAAAAGCTCTCTTGGCCATGATTGCTACACCACCCAAGATGGCAGTGCATCTCCATCTAAGATGGCAATTCTCCCTGGAACAAAGAATTTCTAATCCAAAGTTATTCTGTTTTTCCAGGGTTCAGTTTCGGTTCATTACTTCACATCTAGCCCTTAATAGCCTCCAGGCACTAGGAGAGGGAGACAATGCAAATAATATGACTTCAGGTGAAATATTTACAGTTTCAAGACTTCTTAAATATAATTCTGACAGCAGAGTTCTTTTCTCTTGTTTGCTGGGCAATAGCATACTTTAGATTTAAAAGTTTTCATGAATATCTTTATGACATGGATAAAAATATAATTCACCCTGTTAGGCTAGCACTTCCACTCTTTTCAATCCAAGTCTTTAGTTCAGAAACAGACATATTTATTTTTATAAATGCAAGTGGAAATATGAATTAAGCCTATGTCTTTTCAAAGCTTAAACTGAAAATCATCAATATTCAGATAAATTGCTAATCAATTCATTACTGCATAGCATTTAGCACACACTGATAAGATTTCCTTTTGTAGCAATGCAACCCTAAATTATGGAAAACATCTTCTGTATGTACCAACTATATCTGAACTGAATAAAATCTGGATGATCATTGGATGACAGTAAAGTTATTTTATTTATCTTTGCTGTCATCCAGATTTTTTTACGGCCTTAAAGGACCAATTCCTGATCTGGTATAAGATATGGAAAACAAGACTGTTAATAGTTCCTAATCATGATGGCTTAATAAACTAGACTAGATAAATGTTGGGCTGTTCTCCAGTTTTAAAAATTCTGGGATTAAAGTTAAAGATCTTTGGTGTGTAACAGAATGTTGTTGTATATTTATTAGTGATCTAACATCAAAATGTAACTAAGTTTGACTTTCTGTAGCTTTAAAAATGTATAAATAGACAAAGTATATGAAGCATTCATCTGAATCGCTTGGCAATGAATCCAAACATTTAAAAGTAAATTAAATTAATGTTTGTTTGGTTATGAAACTGAAGATGAAAAACTAACCAGTATTTTTAAAAGCCTTTCTTATTACTTTCTTATTTGCTTTTTTTCTTTTCTTTTTTAAAGCACATAATGCTAAGGATTGTCTTTTGGGTATAGTATCCCAGATGGTAATGCTACTGTGAAATATACCACTTCATTGGATCTACAATTCAAGCAAAGAAGAATTAATCTGTTAATTATGTCATGTTATATCACCATGAAATTCACCTGCAATACAGTCTGAGAACTGTTTAAATAATTCTGCAGGCTGTAAATACCATGTGTCTGTGGGATGTTCTCCTGGGATTAATCCCAAAGGCTAGCCAAACCTATCTCCCCTTATATCGTGACCTACGTAGGAAGTCACACAAGACTTGAAGGAATTTAATTAGCTAAATGTTGCCTTTGGGTTAATAATATAAATATCCTTTTCTCCCTTCCTGATCCATATAAATATAACTCTTCAAAACTGCTGTTCCATATGGCAATTAGAAATATTTTCTACATTTCTTCTAAACTATTCTGCTTTTGAACACACTACGAGGGAGCCTTTATACCAGCATTTGGGTAGGATCCAGAATAAGTTGGCTGAGTTTAAATCCCATTGAAATCAATTTGAAAAGTAAGTCATGACTTAAATAAGGCCCCACTGGGACTCTAATGCAAATACTTTGTCTGGATCTCATTCACCATCATTACTTTATTATCACAATCATTATTACTAACAGTAGCATTTCTAAACTATTTATGGATCAAGGATATACCAAACCTTACAATGTCATATTTCCTGAAAGAAAATATCTTAGGGTTCCTCAAATCTTTTCCTCCTGAGTTTTTCTGGGACTACATTTCTGGAAAAAGGACCATTAGCAATGTGGATTTGAAACTCAAATACTTTTATTTCTCAATACATCTGTGTGTGAGATTGGCGAAGGCTAGTTTAGATTAGAGAAATAAGGAATATTTTTTCCCAAGATCATTCAGATAAAATATATATAGTTAATAGAAATGGCTGTAAAAGAATAGAAAAGAAAACTAGCTCTTTTAGAATGCATTTGAAATCCAAAATCATAATGTAGGGCACAATTTTCAGGGGAAAAATGGCACATAAACAGCAGGCAAATTACTTTCAGAAGGCTTCTTTACCTAGATCCTAAAGACTTTTGATTATTTTTCTCTCAAATATTTCTGGATGGGAAAATTTTCAGAGAAAAAAATTGAGGGAAATTTTAAGAGATAGGAATACAATGCATAAAAGTTTTTAATCAGGAACCCTTTTAATTTCAGCTCTCATAATGTATCATACCTGTTTAGTACTTATTATTTTTAATAGCTTCCTTATGTGTATCATGGGCAGGAAAATAAAACAAAAATCAATCATTTACCACCTTCTTCTTCTTCTTCTTCTTTTTCTTCTTCTTCTTCTTCTTCTTCATCATCATCATCATCATCATCATCATCATCATCTGGTAGTTTTAGGTACTACATTTCGCATAAAAAAACCAGATAAAGAAAACTGGCATTTCAGCCCCTAAAAGGAAGTACAATGATATTCTAACTAAATATTACAGACACTGATTCAGGTAGCCACCCTTTGCTTGTCTTGGTGAAAACTATGCCAGTTCAGCCTTAGATGACACTTAAATGGAACACTATCAGGAATTCCTAAGCAGAGATGTACATGGAAGAAAAAAAAAACCAGAAAAGCAGTTATGCCTGCATAATATAGCTCTGCTCCTTATATGTATGTCATAGATGTGATGTGCATACAAAATGAGAAGGACATTGATCACATGATTGCCAAAGAAATCTTCCAAAAGAAGGTCATGGTGATGTATCCTGTGTTGTTGCCATCCTTCTCCCATAGTAGTAGGCAACATGCTTAGGTAGTCAAGTGGACTCGAGCTTGACTCAAGGAAGACTTTACCTTTAATATATATTACTTTGGAAGCCAAATTTTTCTTGCTTGCTTGTTTTGGTTATCTATTGCTTTCAATTTAAAAGAAAGAAATACATTGTGTGATAAACTCTGAAAATGTTTGAAACAATAAAACAACTTGTAATAAACAAGCACAGGTTAGAAAAACCCACAAAAAGAAAAAGTGTGTGAGAATAAATCAAGTGTGTGAGACGGATAATGTCTGTTATCTATGTTGGTTCCACTTACATAGGTCACAACAATTATAACTAATTCCTCACCAAAGTTAAATGCTGTAAGATGGATAGCAACATTTCCTCAATAATCCAAGGACCTGGTAAGCTCTATGGAAGCACTCTGTCATATTGACAGGATATAAATATAAAATGCTAAAGATCCATTCAGTGAATATCTGCAACAAGGTGCCTTTCCAGCCAGTTGTCTCCTCCAGCTTTCTGAAAAACAGAACAGAAAGGATGCTTTAGCCAAATGTCCCATCAGTCCCAGTTGCCTGAGAATCTCAGCACAGCTATTGATCCTGGACTGTTTAATGCTGCTGCAGTCACCAGCCTTCTCTGGGAATAAAGACTTCTGGGCTCCCTGTCCCAGATATCAGCTAGAGGCCCAGCCCAAGCTGCAGCTCTAATAATAATAGTAGTAAAGTTGGAAGGGACCTTGGAGATCATCTAGTCCAACCACCTGCTCGGGCAGGAAACCCTACACCATTTCGGACAAATGGCTGTCCAGTCTCTTCTTAAAAACTTCCAGTGTTGGAGCATTTACTGCTTCTGGAGGCAAGCTGTTCCACTGATTAATTGTTCTCACTGTCAGGAAGTTTCTCCTTAGTTCTAGGTTGCTTCTCTCCTTGATTAGTTTCCACCCGTTGCTTCTTGTCCTGCCTTCAGGTGCTTTGGAAAATAGCTTAATTCCCTCTTCTTTATGGCAGCCCATGAGATATTGGAATACTGCTATCATGTCCCCCCTTGTCCTTCTCTTCGTTAAACTAGACATACCCAATTCTCGCAACCGTTCCTTATATGTTTTAGCCTCCAGTCCCCTAATCATCTTTGTTGCTCTTCTCTGTACTCTTTCTAGAGTCTCAACATCTTTTTTACATCATGGTGACCAAAACTGGATGCAGTATTCCAAGTGTCTGCTCCCATGTGTTTCGCCATTTAAAGACTTATGAATGAGATGGGAAGTGGAGTGTGCTCTGAAAGCCAACTGTATTTTTAGTTCCTTTGTAGATGACAAGATGAAGGTGATTGCAGATTTTTGGCAAACAGATTCGTAGCTTTGAAATTTGTGACATTTCTATTTCTGTACCATGTTGGATTACTATGACTTACTTATTCTGACTTAGCCTTTTAAAGGGAATGATGCTGGGGTTCTTACTAGATATGCTGATTGGATGCATATTGAATTTGTATCTAATACTGTTATCTGCCAAATGCAGATAATAGCCATTTGGCTGTCTTGCTAGAGTCTGTCATACTTCAGAACTGCAGATGCTGCTTGATTCCACTCCAAACGGAATTTGGTGATGAATGTGTTGTTCCTCTGTGTATTCAGTGTAAAATCTGCTGCACTGGTGATGCTTCTAATGGAAATACATTTTTCATTAGTTCCTTACTTTCTTATATTCATGACAGAATAAGACCAGTCTGAAAATAAGCTGTAACATAAAATAATTTCTTTCTGAAGCAATTTTCTAAATAGAAAGGAAATTAGTTTTACTCCACCACTATTAAGTTTACACATCAATGTGATGATGGGGTATCTAGCCCAAAACAGATCCATACTACTGTTTTTCAGTGCTCTCTTCTAACTATGGGGCTTGAAAAAAGTCATACTGTCTTAAATCATTCTTTTCACCTCAGCATCACTGTGCTGCACTCCCAACATGTCTTTGCACCGTATACAATTTTAATGCCCACTATTTTAAGGTCAGTAGTTCCTTTGGCTGAAATTTGAGTCCTCGAAATGTCTCACACACACACACACTCTAAATGTCTTGTTCAATGCAGGACACAGTGCTCTGATTATATTTTTTTTCCCTTTCCCTTCATACCGTTGACTGAACCTTTATTCCTTGAAACTTTGGGCTGACTGTTCAACCTTTTGACGACTAAGTAGCAGCAGAGAGTAGTATATCTTTTGCCTCCATCTAGATCACGGGTGTCAAACTCACGACGTCACGTGTGATGTGTTGCGACGCATCGTGACTTTTTTCCCATTGCTGGCAAAAGGGGTGGGTATGGTTTTGGTGTGACGCATCTGGCCCATGGGCTGGCAGTTTGTCACCCCTGATCTAGATCATTGTTTCTCAGACTTGGTGATTTCAATATTTATGGATTTCAATTTTTGTTTGGAGTTCAATTCCAACTTTGCCTGGGGTTGAAATCCGCTCATCTTAAATTTGCCAGGTTTGAGAAACACTGGTCTAGAAGTAGCTGGAATTGAACAGCTTTTGGGAAATGAAAAATTGGAATGGAGAAAGGTAATGTGTGGAAGCTGTAAACAACCCTAATATTATTTAGGAAAGGAAAATAAGAGTCAGAGCTTCTGGGAACATCAATCACTGGGAAGGAATATCACAGAAAAACAAGTGATGAGTCCTTTCCAGTTACATGCCTTAAGCCAGGGATGGGCTAACTGGTTTTGGACCAGTCAGCCAACACCTTTCAAAAATGAGTCTGGGGCATAATTCCTATAAAAGCTGAGATTCTGGTCATAATCAAAACAGGACTGAAGTATAGGTCAATGACTAGATAGAAGAGATATGTCTAAAATAATCTGCCAGAATCAACTGAAGCCATAAGGTCATTGACCAAACACATGTCATTTCAGGCTTTTCTATGGACATAGTATACCCTACATTGTCCCATAATGTCCCCCTTTTCAGATAGTTCAGAGAGAAAACACAACCAGATAAACTAATTCTAGTTTACAGTAAAGCTACATTATAGCAGAATATTTCAAGTCTGAAAGTATAATTCTCCTGCCATCATCTTTACAGTATGAGAAACTAAGTAGAGTCTCTCCAGAGCTTCTTGCTCTTCCCATCATGCTCTTTTTTATCCGATCATTTCCTAGGGAACATGTCTTCTCCCAGTCTTCCAAGGTCATTCCCACACCATTATACACACAGCATATTGAGGAGGATTAAGAAGGTAACCAACACTTACAAAAGAAAGAAAACAAATCATGCACCTCAGTTGGATATGGACAGCGAGACACAGGTGGTATCCAGACATGCTTTCTGAAAATGGTTTGTGGGCTGTCCTCACACGGGGTAAAGAAGCTGGGTTGATTTATCTGAAAAATGAAAATTTTTCTAAAGTTAGCCCATGTGATATGCAGATGATGTAGTAGTTTTTTAATTGTAAAGCAATGAAAGCTTTAACCCACTTCTGCAGAAATCACTCACAACTGGTAAACTTATAAACCATCTATGTGCTTTGCAAAAAGAAATGAATGACTTCGGGAATTGAGGGGCAAAGCACCAAGCAGATGGCATATTGGCAAATTCCAAATATATAAATTTTATGCTCCACAGTCTACATGAAATTGATATGCCCATATTGCTCAGGTCTCACTGGATACCAAAATGAAGTCTTTGATCATCATTTTCTTCTGATGCTTTAGGGTCCAACATTTCTACAATTAAATGAGGTCAGGCCATTGACACAATTTCACTCATGAGGTCCTGCTAAACCCATGCATTCAGTTTTGCTAAATTGCACATAATAGAAACCAAATTTCTAAAAAAGTTGTTTCAGATTATTTGGTGAATTCTTAATTCAACACTGCATAGAAGCAACATCTGAGCATGGATAAAACACTTCAATTACTAAAAATAGCTAAATTTCCTCCTGCATGGTTTGCTTTTTCTAACTCTGACTAACCAATATCAGTCATAGATTTTTTTAATATATATTTATTAGGTTTTTCTACTTTCTTTTAGTTTCCCAGAGTCCCAACATTTATTTATTTATTTATTTATTTCCCTCCCTCCCTCCTCCCTCCTTCCCTTTTACAAGCTGGTGGCAGACCAAATATTTAGTTTTTATGATATAGGTAGTCTTTAACTTACAACATTTAGTCCATTTAGCGACAATTTGAATTTACATTGGCATTGAAACAGAGACTTATGACTGTTTTTCACACTTACAACTATTGCAGCATCCATATCTGTGGTGGGATTCAACCAGTTCGCACCGGTTTGGTAGAACTGGTAGCTAATTTTTTGTTGACTTCAGCAAACCGGCTGATGCCTTAGCCTTTTTTTGCAAGGCTCAACATGGACTGCTGCAGGTGCGTGGATGACACTTCTGGAAGTCCACTCTGAGCCAGGGAGGCCTCCCAGGCCCAGAATGGACTTCTGGAAGTGTCTCCCACGCACTTCCAGTGAGCTGTTCTGGGCCTGTGAGGCCTCCCCAGCTCAGAACGACTTCCAGAAGTGGCATCCACACAGAGAACTGGTTGTTCAGGTATTTGAATCCTACCACTGATCCATATGGTTATATGATCAAAATTCAGACACTTGGCAATTGGCTCATATTTAGGACAGTTGAAGTGTCCCGAAGTCATGTGATCACCTTTTGTAACATTTTGATAAGCAAAGTTTATGGGAAAGCCAGATTCACTTAGCAACTGTGTTGCAAACTTAACTACTGAAATGATTCACTTAACAGCTGTTGGAAGAAAGATCATAAAATCAGGCAAAACTCACTTAGCAACTGTCTTACTTAGCAACAGAAATTTTGGGCTCAATTGTAGTCATAAGTCCAGGACCACCTGTATTTCTCTTTTATTCTAAATTAGTAATGAAAGAATTTCTAGAACAACTTCTTTCTAACCCTTTGGAGAAGCTCTGCTGGGCATAGTATAACAAGGCAATTCATTTAATTTTAAACTGTTTAATTTAATTGATAGTATTTAGTCACCAGCTGACCTCAGACTGAGAAATCAGGCAGCATACAATAAAAGAAAGCAAAATAAAAATACAATAATGAAAATAATAAAAATACAATAATTATGAAAGAAAAAAAATGAAATAAAGAGCAAAAAAAATAATGAATATGGCTAAGCATACCTGCACACAATTTGGCACTGGCCCCACCTGCTATACTCCAAGGCCAGGGAAAATAGCCAGCTCTTTAAGGCTTTCTGGAATGCTAGCAGGTCCAAGGCACACAAATACTAAGGGAATCTCATTCCAGAAGGCAGGGGTCATGATAGAAAATCATACTTATTGATTCTCAAATTCCACAACATTTCTGGCTTTGCGAACCAGTAGGGTGGTGGTAGAGGGGATGGTTCTGCGTAATTGGCAGGCAAGTGCATGTGTGCAGCTATGTTTGTGTGAGTGGACAGCAGGTGCACCTGCCGCTAATGCAAATGGAGTTTGCACACACACACTCGCCTGCTGCTTGTGCAAGTGGGGATGCACGCTCACGCACCACTTCCGCAGTCCCGTTCTGACCGTTCAAGACCTGGTAATGGGCTATGACCCAAGGATTGGGGACCCCTGCAATAGATGTCATTGTTTAATTGAAACTATCTAGAAACATCAACCTGTTGGACTGAACCATCCAGTTGGCACAATGGTTAGAATGTAGTATTGCAGAGAACATTGTCCATTGCCTGGAGTTTGATCCTGATGGGCTCGAAGTTAATTCAGCCTTCCTTCCTTCCAAACTCAGTAAAGTGAAAACTCAGAATGTTGGGAGTAATATGCGGACAGTGTAAAACCACACAGAGAATGCTGTAAAGTACTAGGAGTGCTGTAAAGTACCAGGGGCTGCCACAAAGAAGAGGGAGTCAAGCTATTTTCCAAGGCATCTGAAACCAGGACAAGAAGCAACGGGTGGAAACTAAGCAAGGAGAGAAGCAACCTAGAACTAAGGAGAAACTTCCTGACAGTTAGAACAATTAACCAGTGAAACAACCTGCCTCCAGAAGCAGTGAATGCTCCAACACTGGAAGTTTTTAAGAAGAGACTGGACAGCCATTTGTCCAAAATGGTGTAGGGTTTCCTAGGGGGTTGGACTAGATGGCCTCCAAGGTCCCTTCCAACTTTACTACTACTACTACTACTACTACTACTACTACTACTACTACTACTACTATTATTATTACTATGAGGTGGTCTTTAAGTCTAAGTGCTATTGCTATTGGTATTGATACTGGTATTGATACTGCAGGAGATAGGCAGTCTCTCAAGAAACTAGGCCCTAGGCCATGTAAGACTTTATAGATCATAATTCACTTCTTGAATCACTAGAAGCATATTAATAACCAGAGCAGGAATGAAATAATAACAATAACAACAACAACAAGGTTGGAAGGGACCTTGGAGGTCATCTAGTCCAACCCCCTGCTCAGGCAGGAAACCCTATACCATTTCAGACAAATGGCTGTCCAGTCTTTTCTTAAAAACTTCCAGTATTGGAGCATTCACAGCTTCCAGAGGCAAGTTGTTCCACTGATTAATTGTTATAACTGTCAGGAAATTTCTTCTTAGTTATAGGTTGCTTCTCTCTTTGGTTAGTTTCCATCCGTTGCTTCTTGTCCTGCCTTCAGGTGCTTTGGAAAATAGCTTGACTCCCTCTTCTTTGTGGCAACCCCTGAGATATTGGAACACTGCTATCATGCCCCCCCCCCTTGTCCTTCTCTTCATTAAACTAGACATACCCAATTCCAGGAATCGTTCCTTATATGTTTTAGCCTCCAGTCCCCTAATCATCTTTGTTTCTCTTCTCTGTACTCTTTCTAGAGTCTCAACATCTTTTTTAAATCGTGGTGACCAAAACTGGATGCAGTATTCCAAGTGTGGCCTTGCCAAGGCATTGTAAAGTGGTATTAACACTTCACGTGATTTTGATTATATAGTGAAGTACAATATAATAAATACTTTTGGTGGTAAGTGAATCAAACTATTCCAAGTCCATTTCAGTTTTTCACAAGTTCCTTCAATCCTGTTATATATTTTTTAAAATGCATGAAAAATTGTATTTAATGTTCTATTTAAATCATGATTTTAACCATTCTCCCTAAATATGCAATTTTAATGCATTTTTCTAAGATTACACTTTGATATATTTGTTGAATTACACTTTGATATATTTGAGGTATGCAGGGTTGAGAGTGTTTCAAATATGTGTAAAGTCCAAAATTAGTCTAAAAAATATGAAACTAGGTTGGTTCAGTGAAATCCTGGAATATTCCTATGCGCCTGATAGGTAAATCTTAGTGCTCTAGCCACACTGTCAATTTCATGTAAGGAAAGGGAGATAACATAACAATTAAGAAAAGCTATGTCTGTGTTAGCATCTTTCATTTTGTTTGTATCATTATATTTTATTAGGAAGAGCTAAGAAAATCAAATGGTGTTTTAGCTCCCTATTTTAAATTAACATGTTTTATAGTGATCAAAGCTTGCATTACGATTAACTGTGTGGGACTTCAGCTCACGTGTAAAGTTTTCTTTAGGAAGTGATAAATATTTACAGTATATAATGAAATTTTATATCAGGAATTTGATGGCATTTACTGTGTTTTAATAAAAACAGATCTGAAAACATTAGCTTTATTAAAGAAAATTCTGACATATTGTTAAAAATATTGCCATTTTCATATTTGAGACCTGATAGACATAGGCAGCTTTTCAGTTAACAACATTATTATGGAAATTAGTCCCAATATAATGGAAATAGTACAAAAAATACAATCCCTAATACATCTTCATGCAATCTTGTATTCACCTATAAATTACCTTCTTTTCAATGGTGATTACAATTCTTGGCTTAGTTGCTTTTTAATCACCAGAATTCTCTTTTCTTTCCCTTCTACTTCTTTCTATATTTCCAAGAACAAGAAAAAAAAGTTCAGTTCAAAGGACAGATTACCATACATCCAGAATTGTTACCCTCAGATTTCTACACACATTTTTCATATGATATAGATCAGACAGGTCAAACACAAGGCCCGTGGGCTGGATGTGGCCCACAAAGTGGTTTCATGTGGCCCGCGAAGCCATTCTGGAAACAGTGAGGGAATGGCCCCTGCTGCCTTGGCCCTGGCCCAGGCCGGCCGGAAGCCAATGTACAATTTTGTGGTGGCCATCTATGTAGAAAGGCATTCAGTCTTAGCTCCACAAGGCCATCTGGAAGAGTGAGGAACCATTACCTGCCACGTCAGCCCCGCCCCCTCGGTGCATGCTGGGGAAGTGTCACTCTTTGTGAGGAATGAAGAAATGCACCATTGCTTGGAAGTAGCCAGCAAATGGCCCTCGCCTACTTCACATATCCAGCTTGATGGGCTCTGGGGGAGGGGTTTCAGCAGGCAGTGGGGTGCTCTCCTCACAGCACCAAGCGGCTGAGCAGGGCGGTGCAAATCCAAAAAGAAATGCGAGGCCGCCCAGCTCCCAGCCTGCCCAGTTTCAGCAGGCAGTGGGGCACTCTCCTCACAGCGCCAAGAGCTGAGCGGCGTGAATCTGATGAGAAGTGCAATGCTGCCTAGCCACAGTCTGCCCAGTTTCAGCAGGCAGAAAGGTTGGCGAGCTTCGCACCGCCCAGCTCAGCCTCTCGACGCTGTGAGGAGAGCGCCTCGCTGCCTGCTGAAACCACACCCATCCAATAGGCCACACCCACCCTGGCCACACACACCCGCCCCCCCGAGGGCAACGACAATGCTGATGCAGCCCTCAATGAAATTGAGTCTGACACTCCTGATATAGGTGGATATTTTTCACTCAATGTGAAATTTAATCCACCAGCACAGAAGCAAATGAATCACATGTATTCTGAAATATGTAAAGGTACTCCATGTTAAACTGTTGATTCTGTGCCCAATTTTATATATGCAGATGTATCTTCCATATGTTTTGGAGAATTCCACAAGTTAGAATATGAGTAATATGGTAATTGTCATGGATGATGGAAGTTGTGGTCAAAAATATTTGGAAAATATATAGGAATATAAGGAATATAATATATATAATATATAATATAGTAAAGCAGAGCAGCACATAGCATAACATAACACGACATGACAGCATAACATAACATAATATAGCATAACATAACATTTAATAAAATTAATGTAATATACTATAAGTAATATATTACAACACACCGCTGATTTCCTTGACAAACTGGTATATAGATTACCAAAAAATGACATGATCCCAAGCCTCTTAAATGAAGACAAAAGAAAACAAGTCTCAGATCCATAATATTGAGGTTCATATTTAAGGTACTCTTCAATAGATCACCTTTTCTTTATGACAACTTCCCTTTTTTAAAAAAAAAGAGAGAGAGAGAGAGAGAATCTATCTTGTCAGATTTTTTTTTAAAAAAGCTAATTAAATTATGACAAAGATCAAAAGAACTCTATTATAATAGTCAGGATGTCTTCTTAAGGTATGTGAATATTGGACTGATCAGTCAATAATTTGCAATATTGCAAATATTGCAATACTGCAATCTCTTATCTCAGGACTATATAGACACGGTCTAAGGCTATCTATGGCCTCCTATCTACAGCCCTCTATCTGCATCTCTTACAAATATGTTGCAGGGCTAATATGGAAGAACAGCTTTGGCTATGAAGATAAATGATTGAGGTAGTACAATGGCCTTAGAAGTAGGATCTGTTACTCATATATAAATCTAGATATTGAGATAGCTGGTGACAAGCAGGGTTGTCTCTTCAATGGTTGCTTTGCATTCATGGTATGTGGTTGGGGTCAGATAACTCAGAACTTATCTCTATAGATAGGTTCCTTTTGCTTCTTATTTAAAATAAAAAAATAAAAATCAGTGCAATGCTAATCATTATGAATATATAGTATTTCATTTAATCCTCATAATGAATTCCAAGCATGTTAAAGTACTTATGGACTCTGGTGCATATATTGTCCTCTTATAATTTCCATCATAGTATATTTCTGGACTTAAACCCCTTTGAATGCTGTTATATCAATTGAAATGAATTAAAGGGTATCCTGGAAGGAAAGATCTGTTCCCAATTGAGTGCCAATGGCAACATGGAATTCATGTAAATTTCAACAGGGATAGAATCAATTATCATTTTCAAGTGCAAAACACTGATGTTTCATTTTACTGTTGGATTTAGTTCATTTTATTTGAACATTTTAACATACAAAAGGATTATAATCAGGTGCTCTTCATAGAAGGTCCAGTAGGCTCCAGGCGTCTCTTTCTCTTCAGACTAAGATTTATATGCTTTGTAAAGCAACATCTTTCAGCATTCATGTAGAACCATTTATTTCAAAATAAAATAAAATAAATATTCTTCCTTTAATGAGAAAAGTTGAAGTAGGCCAGACATAGCTGATAACCTTCTTTAGGTACATGTATATAATATTGTAATATATAATATAATATTTCTTTGGATACGCAGTGTTGTGTAAGTATTTTCCTTGTCTCTTCCTAATGTGAGACTCCCTCACTTGGCATGAAGCCAGTTTTGTTCATTTTCTGCAGCTGGCATGAAAGTAAACTCATTTTTTTGCAGAACTGACCCCCATTATTTCATTTCGGCTAATTCTAAATGTGTTGATGAGCTATAATGCAAAGCAGCACAATTAATTGTATAAGGCATGTTCAGTTAGCATGGAGTTGGTGATTGGCAGGTAAGGAGGAGGAGGAAGAGTTAGTCAACTCTAATGATGAAGCAAACATTTGCTAGGAAATTAACAGACATAAAAGGAATGGAAAACTATAAATCTGTAGAAATGAATGGAAAACAGGATTCTCATTAGAGATCTATGAAAAGAAACCATTTGTTTTAGGCATATATCGAAGACAGCATGTGTGAAATACCAGCATGTACCATATAAATTCTAAATATATATATAACTGCCAATTGTCTGAAACAGTATTTTATGAAGTCATAGGCTACAAATGAATGACATCATGAAGTATCAAAATGACAAATAAAGGACTATATGAAGGTTCTTTCCGTTTCCAACGATTATCAGACATTTCTATATCAAAAGAAGGCTTGAATTATATTACCTGGTTGATAGTCATTTCCCTTTGCCTGGAAACTCCTGTGAGCTGTTCATCCCTACCCTCCCCCCCATAAAAGAAACATAGTCTTAATAAGTGACACTGGTAGAATGTCTTTATATGGCTGTATAGGCCTCTGTGTCCTCCATAGAAGGCCACACAGCCAAGTCTTAACCCCTTTCTGGGAGGCCAAAAGATGGAAGCTTTTTTCAGCAAGATGTTCCACAAAGCAGAGGCAGCTTTGTGGAGCATTAGTGATTAATCTTTCTTTAACAACCACTATTGAATTAAATATCTGGGAGATTAAAAAAAAATGTACACAGAGGTAACCTATCTGTGTAGGTTAGAACAGTGAATTATGGCTTCTTCCCTATCAACTGATTGCAAGTTAATATGTAAGTTGAGCTCCATATTGTGCACTTCATTTACAGTAATTGTACAACAGCTGTATAATAGGTATAGTTTAAGGTATGAGTGTTGCTCAGAGTGTAGCTTAAATGTCTACTGTGAGATGTGAATATGAATACGAATAATTCTGACTGCATAGTAATTGGTTGTATTACAGAACAGAATGGGAAGCTACATATGGATGAATGGATGAAGCCTGAATGGATTGTAGCACAGGAAACTAATGGCAAATTTTCTTTTTTTTTTTTTTACTTTAAATAAGTAGCTAGAAGAAACTGAAACAAGAAGTAAGAAAATACAAAACGTATAGCTATAGATTCATGTGCTAATGTATATAATTTTTTATGTCTCATTCATTACTGTTCTAAATGCATAGCCAAAAAGCTGTATATTAGATATGTTCAAATATAGAAGACATCAGAACACTAAGTTTTAGGTATTCCTTACATGAATAAAGCCTTTGAATAAATCCTGGAATCATTTAAAAAAAATTTTAAACTCAAACCACATGGAAAATAATAGTGATTGAAACAGCTGTAGAGATAATTAGGGCAGTTTTATTATTTACAGCTTGTAAATAAATAAATAAATGACCTTGAGTCAAGGGCTGGGTCTAAACAAGATAAGTTGTGCTAGGTCCCCATTGAATGTAATTTAATTTAAATCCTAATTAGCCAGGTTTACTTCATTGAAACTTTTTGTTAAGTAAAAATAAATTAGCCTGAAACCAACTTAACACAGTTATGCCAGATATTTATAGCTGAGACACAGCTATAACAAAAAAGGAAATAGATGGGAAGAAAAATAATACCAGCAAATGGATGTTATTCCTTTTTGCCAGAGTTGGAGCAGCATTTGTAGGAATTATGATGAAACTATGGAGGAGAAAATGGAAAATAAGCAAAAAAATTCACTACAGCATAATGGAGTGATTCCTCCCCCCCCCCGTTTGAAAACCTGCCTTCTTGTTCCTTTTCTCCAAATACCTTATTTTCCTTGTCCTTTCTCCTATCTCTCTTCTTCCCAGTTGTTTCATTCTTCTCACTACCTCTTAGAATTTAAACGAACATATACTCCAAACATTCCTGCATTTATTTTATTTTATATATGGATTTAGTGATGGAATATGGTGGAATAATTCGTTAACAGACACAGTTTCAAAATGAAACAGGATTTGCCCAGCAAATGAGAAATTAATTAGTGGTTGACACACCCACCCCATTTCTCTTGAACATCTAATTGAATAGGACTGACCAATTTGAGATAAAATAGGACTGTGTTATAAATTAATGGAATTTATTTGGAGTAATTTGAATGAGAAATTGTTTGCCTTTGATAAAATTAAAATTAACCCTACTATTTATAAATTATCACATGTCAATACAAATTACCATGTGCAAGTTCTTAATAACAAGTTTCTATAGGCCTATGACTTGAACCATCATCTGTTGGGCCTCCAACATTATTATCCTTAGAATAGGAGTAGATTTAGAGTAGAAGCCTTTTGAAGACTGTCCTTTGGCACCCCTTCATGTAGAAATGTCCTTTGCAGAGTAAGAAAACATGAGCATCCTCTTTTTTTTTGTTCAACCTTGGCTAATACAGAACAATCTGTGGCTAAAATGGATAAAAGAAAATTCTACCTAGTTTTTAATGCTGATTGTACAGTATATCAAGTGAGAAAAAACATACCAGGTCTCTAGATAGGTCATAGTCTGGGGAAAGGCACAAAGGAGAATCATTTGGGCGTTACATTATTATACAGCAATAGATCTAATATTAGAATATGAAACCCCATCAGAGTATGTACTCTTAGTTACTCATTGATTGTAGCCCTGTATCTTTTTTCCACTTTTTTCTCTGGAAGATGCTATTTTAATGATGTTAAGATCAGAAAGTTCCTTATCTTCATCACCTGACTTTCTTTCAAAGTAAGCCTGCTGGAATCCATCAACTAAAGGGAGATTAATAAATGTTAGTTTGTTGAGAATCATAGAAATCCAAAGATCTGCCTTCTGCATGAGATGAGAATTTCTGTTTGTTTTGCTATTATTAAAAAAATATACCTTCTAGGAATTGTTTCATCTCATCTGTTCATTGATATATGTTGGTTAGAATAAAAAAAACGTGGCTGTCTTTGCTTTAAAAAGCAGTTTTTAGTAGGCATGATGCAATTTCTTTCAAGCTTTCTGAACTTACGTTTATATTTATCCCTTTACGAAAGGATAGATCTCAGAGTAAGGCTAGGTAGTGTTGTGATGGTTATGATTTGGCCTGAAATGCTTCCATTTGTTATTTTGATTTTCAGTATGTCAGTGGAACATCAAAATGTCTTTGTCTTGTAGTTATTATCTCTTATTTTGTGAGAGATAAGTACTGTCTAAAATAATAAGGAGAATATGATACAAAACTATACCTATTTGTGAATTCTAAGGAATAAATGCAGCAATATCAATTACAATTATTCATGTTGTTCTTGAAAATGACAGTACATGAAAAGAAAGGGGGGTCACTTACTCTCTCTTGTTGTAAGGCTTTCTTTGTTTACCTAGTTTTCCAGTGATGACAAACTAGATGGTAAATTTGCATAGGATAACTAACATATACAAACCATTTTCACGTCTGCATATACACGTGAGTTGCAGTAATTACACGTGACACCAATTACTCTATTACTTTGTATTAAATTATAATGGAAAATTCCACTAGAGAATTGAAACCTAATTGCATCTTAATTTGCATAATTTTGCATATTAATTACATCTCAGATGAATAATAAATTTCAGCAGATTTTTAATTTATGCATAGACACAAAAACAAGTGGGGAAATAATTTAAATGGTGGGGGAGAGAAAGAAATAACAGCACCTATTACTTAGGGCATTTGACTAATTTTGCTTAGTTTAGCAAGACAAAACTTGGTGTGTTTAACACAGCATCTTTAGCCTGATTGCTGTTTATTTCACAATTCATCAGTCTTGGGAGATGCAGAGATTCATTTTCATTTACATCATTTTAGATCTAAATGTATTAAATATTTCAAATAAAATGCAGATTAACTAATACAGACAACTTGAGAAATATCAGCTGGACATGCACTTTATATAATTTCCAATACAGCCTCATAATAAGGACCTTTTTAATACTACAAAATTGAAAACTGATTCTATTAATAAATAGTTTTTTTGTTTAGAGGCAATTGCTTACAAAGTATAAATAATGGTAACTATTCATGTCAGTGAGATCATGGTAAGAAAATTGCTTTTTTACATATAAGAACTTGTGTAAATAATTGGCTGCATTAAATGATTGTCAACAGAAATGGCATGTGTTTGTAGACTCCATTATTTAAGTTATCACACTAGTCAAAATTACAGCTAATTCTTTCATCCATCCTTCTGAACATAACTCTAAATTCACTTACTAAATTCACTTTATTGAATCAACAAGATCTACACATCTAGCATTAAGAACATCTTTAGAACATGAGTAAAGCTTTATATGTTTCCATTTATTTATCACAATTCCCACACATATTCATTTCACATTCCAAAGAAACATATTGGTATACTTGCTGTGATAACAAATTGTGAAAAAAATTCCTACGTGTGAGTAGCTTTGCTTTGTAAAACAAAAAACCAAATCAAATGACAACAAAAATCCTTTCCGACAGTGGGAGCATCATGCTGTTAGAATTTCCTCCCAGGACCGGCTATCATAATTGTCAGCCTACTTATGTTTCTTCAATCAAGTCTCTGAAACGGAAGTCCCAGTTCTGCTGTTAATTCACCTAAACCCCTAATCTGGTATTATTTCCTTTTATACCTGCTGTCATAGTCAATCTGAAAATGACTGCACCAAGAATAAAGCTATTGATCATTTGCCAAGTGATACAAAAGAAGCAGACGTCAACACTGTAATAAATCAGGAAACTGCCAAGATCAATAAGCATAAAGCTCAAGCATTTTGCTGGGGAAGGGACCATCTATTCTGCAAAATACATACATCTTCAGACCTTTTTATAGTTTTCTTACTACGAGAGCTGGATAGAAAACAAAACAACACTCCAAATTCTTTCAAAGGCCATTCTATAGATCTTTTATCAGATTTGCCAGATAATTTCTTTAAAAAATAATTGTAACAGCCCAAAAATGGTAAACGATCTGTAACATTTATATTACCAGTGGTAGATATTATCATTTATTTATGCATATATTTTGATGCAGGCATCTGCTTGGTTTCATATTTGAATGTTTATAAGACTTTCGTAAAGTTTCCTTTTCTCGTCAAAAATTGACATAGAAACCAAATCAAGCAATTGGCTTTTATTTATTTATTTGGTACAACAAATCCATTAATATTATGTGTCCATTTTCTGTACCACTTTTCCATGACAATTTCCCCATACATCATACCAAATTCTATTAGAAGTACTAAGCCTCATCCCAACTTTTTTTCAGAAAAGATCTATAGTTTTCATAATTGAACATCCAAATATTCTTTTACTTTCTAAACATTTAATACTATTCTAGACATGTTTGATGATATTAGAACAGAACAAATTGCCAACTCTTAGCCAATGGATCCCTCTCCTGGTCATGGGTGAGTCCTGCACTATTCAAAAAAAAATCACATCAAACAAAAATCAAGCTAATATCTGTTGAAATGAATACTATTAATCTTATTGAGAGAGTCAAATTTTTCATCACTGTCTTAGATCATACTTTCTTTTTTTTCAGAGGGAGGGTGCTTCCAATAGGGGGGAAAAGGTTCAGTTGTCTGTAGCAATATTTTTACATTTTATTATATCTATGTATTTTCAGCCTGATGTTAATTTCTACATTTCAGTCAAATTATAGAATGGAATGCAACCTAATACAGAGAAGTTCATTGTGTCCAAACTGAGAGAAAGTACTTGGTTAGCAGTTAAACAGTGAGTTCACTCTGTGAGCAAAACTGAATTGATCATGACAGTTTCTTTTAGAAAAAAAAATAGCAGTAAAAAGATTGATATGAAAGACAAATGTCCAAGGAAATTCTCTCTCCAGTGAGCTTTTTAAAAAGCAAATATTAAGCATGTAGTTAAAATTAAGTTTCTGTGAAACATACCTACTTCGTCATGGGTGAAGTCACAACTGGCTCAAAAAGTAGTCCAATAACTAACATTACACTTCAGCTTTGTGGGTTACATTGGCCTCCAGTAGACTTTTAGGTGCAATTCAAGTTGCATGCTATTTGTAAAAATGCTTATCTACCCCACTAGATCCAACAGAATTGGTATGCTCTGGATCCCTTCTATTAAGTATTGCCATTGGATAGGACTTGGGAAACATGCCTTCTTTGTGGTAGTATCCGTTCTGTGAAATACTTGTCTCCAAGATTTAGATATCCCAACCTTATAGATCTTTTGTTAGATTTTAAAGACTTGGCTGCTTCTGTAAGCATTTAGCTAGAATATGAGTGAATTAGGGTTAGGTATCTAGAAAATGTAATAGTAATATTGATTGGTAGCCTTAGCTGCCAATCTGTTTTGTTTTGATAAACATTGTTTTTATGATAGCTTTTTAAATTTGTTTGAGATATTGTGAGTTGGTCAGTTATATATGTAAATTGAAAATATATAGCCTTGACAAATAGAAGTTGAAGGAATAGGTGAAAAAGAATTAGCACTGCAAAATTGTGCAAATATTTCAAACTTAACATCAAGCCACATAGTTGGCTACAGGATGAATTTGAAGCCCATTCATTTAAAATATAAGGGGATATGAATGTATACATAAAGAAAGCATGATTATACCTCCTGTCCCATCCCTAAACTTTGTATTGTAATCAAACTCAACTTATGTGATCAAAATTTCAATCATCATTTCCAAGTGTTCAGAGAAAGCTTAGCTCTGTATGTTATAATATATGTGCTCAACATTTTTATTCCACTTTTTTAAAAAAAAAAAAATAACAAGAACAGATTTTCATACTGATCACTGGGCCAAATCAAGAAACAACTAGTTATGAAGTGTGCAGTATATGTGAAATTGCTTTTCATAACTCAAAGACAATATACTATATAGAATGATCTGTGCCCTCTTCCAACCCAACCAACAATAGATTGCAAAAATAACTGCTCACGTGACTCTTCATTATATAAGATTAGTTTTATGGCTGTCCTCATTTCTCTCTCTACACTTCAAACAAAAAAGGTAGGCATTGCTTTCAGTTATATCTCCAACTTTCTTTAATTATATAAGGGAAGGACTGTGATTTGAATTATAACATAGGTTTCTTCTTTCCTTCTTTCTTTCTTTCTTTCTTTCTTTCTTTCTTTTTTTCTTTCTTTCTTTCTTTCAGCGTAGATCAAAATGAACTTTTCTCATAGTTTCATACACCTGCCTCTTCCAATTTTATTGAATTACATGTGAATGGTCTGGTTTAGGCATCATGTCCAAGATTATCTCATAACTATTAAAAATGTGAAATACAAGGTATTGTTTTTAAGGTTTTAATATTACTAAAATCCCCTCTCACAATAATAATTTTCTTTACCATATCTTCAACATATGCCTTTGTTTCCTTACTTAAACATACAAATGTATTATTTATTTTCCAACATTATAAAATTCCACTATGAACTCTACATTTACAAAGTGTGATCAAGATGGTGAAGCAACATGGAAATGTCTACATGTAATCCAAAAGTGTTTTATAATTAAAGAATCAAATCATTACTGGATTCCCAGTGAAGATCTGAGCTGAACATTTTTCAAAGGAATTGTAATTTGGTTTATCATTTGAGACCAGACTATAAGTAGTAGAGTGACCACATGGGATTCTATGATTTTTAAAATCCACAGGAGACATTTTAGATACTGCCATGTGACCATTTTTTTCTATTCCCAAATCCCAGAAAAGCAATTTGTCAGACTGAAGATATTCTTCAATCATTTTCCCATCTGCCAGTTTATATACACTGAAAACAAGAAATGAAAATAGCCCTGCAGATTTCAAGCCATTGCAACAAACCTAACTTCTATTTCATACAAATGGGCAATGAAAACGTACGCTCTCTCCACCCCATAGCTTCCTTTATATATCTGGCTGGGGGGGGGGGGAGGAGAGAAACAGTTCCTATGAAAAAGAAAGTGAAAATCTCTCAAATCATCTTTCCCTTTGAAAGACTTGTTAGCATGGCTGCAACCTAGCAACTGGGAAATCGAAAAAAGGTGAAAGTTTCTGCGAGAAAATCACCTACCCAAAAGCTCCTCACAATTACACTTGTAAAAAACCAAGCTAATAGTTTACATCTATTCAGTTGCTAAACTGATCCAGTATGGCACAGAGCTATCCTGGAATGGTACACATATGGCATATAGGTGGTGTTAGACAGATAAAGTGTGAAAACAAAAACAATCATATAAGTTTTGCTTTCTTTTGCATTTGATTTGGCTTCCTTAAATGTAATATTTTTCGCTTCCATTTAGATATATATAGTAGTAATTTTGTTACCTATCTCATTTGGATGCCCAGTAAATTAGATAAACATTGAATAACTAAATTAATACATTATAAGATGGGTTTTATTTTTTTTTCTTATCTTTGCTAGAGAACCAAGGACTCAGAAGCATAAGGAAAGATGGAAATAAGCTGATCTGAAACAGACAGAACATTTTATTTTTTTCCCCAGTTGCTTAGCAGCTTACTGAACTTTTTAGTCTCCCATATTGCAAATAAAAGAGTGTTTTAAAATTGCATTTTTTCTTCTGAAAACACCTTTAAAAAGACTCCATTACTTTAAATGATTTAGATAATTGTGTTCAATGGTAGCCATTATTTAAAAATATAATTAGTTGCTGAACTCAGGGAGGGAAACATTTTGCAGGTGTTTCTCATTATTTGCTGTGCATACAAAATACCTGCATAAATTACCTTGATGCCAGTGCAGAGAAGAGACAATGAAGCATTAGCTGAGAAACAAAAACAGGGTTGACCCACAATCTGGCATGGTTGCATGGCTGAAGCATGCTTTGCTTTAGATCTTTAGATCCACGTATAAAATAATATCTAAGATTGAAGATGGGAGGTAACACCTGCAGTATGGCTGAACATACAGCATGAATCTACTGTGGCAATATTAATAATGCACACAATCATGCTCATTCACAAACTCTGCAGTAACATCCCAGCATGTGTCTATAAATCTCTTCCTGTCACTTGGGAAATTATCAGCATTGATAGAATAAACTGTTTTCTAGATGTCATTTAAAGAATGTTTCTTAGGATGATTTTCTTTTCTTTTCACTATAAAACCAAGTCTGTGGTTTATTTTCATACTGACTGGAATTCTACAATAACCAACAAATAAATAGAAATATGTAGAGATAAACTTAATATAACTACAGGATCCAAATTCAGGGTGTTGGAATATACAAGTTGCATTGAAAGGCCTCATGAGCTGGTACTAGCTATACTATGCAGATCAGATTAAGAAATTCTATGCAAGAAGAATTTTATTGAGGTTAGTTTTTGTTATAAGAATCTTCCAAGTCTGGTTATATTGTACATTCTCCACTCTACCACTTATATGTCAGTGAATTAGTATGGTATCTCTCTGAGTTGCTTCTAAATATTATTTATTATGGATTTAAACTATGTTAAACCCCTCTTATTTAGGCAATAGATTTTCCATATCTCTGTCTAGGTTATCTCTACAGCTTATAATGTAATACTGCTATATTAAAAGTATAACTA